CTTACTGTTATCATTTTCCTCTACTTCTTTTGTATGTTTGTCACTCCCTTGTGACCTGCTATTTTGGGGTGCCTTGATAGTCGAAGCAGACCTTGTGCTGTTGAAGCTAGAGAGGTGAGCTGTCTAAGTCTGATTCCCTGTAAAGACTTCTCTGTTGACACCCACTCCTTGGGACTCATATGACTTTATGCAGTTGCGAGCGCCGTAAGACCCTCTACTATAAAAAAAAAATTAAAAAAAAAAAAGACAGGTGGACGTCTCGGATAGTGTCACTGAAGAATCTGTCATACTTGCAGAGCTCTAAGGTTCAAGTCATTTTTCTTTGCACTTAATGGCTGTTATTGTGTTGATATAGTCAATAGTTGTAAAGCGCTTAGAGCATGTTGTAGAGCATGGATATCATCAATCATCATCAATGCCTTTCACCCCTGGCAGGGTATAGGCCACATACAAGCTCCTTCCATTTATCTCTGTCCTGAGCCATCCTTCCAAGCTCGTTCCAAGTGAGCTTCATTTCTCTCATGTCCCTTTCCACGCATCTCCTCCATGTTTCCTGTGGCCTACCCCTGCCTCGTGCTCTGAGCATGGATATGCACTATCTAAATGTAGTCATAAATAACAATAATAATAATATTAATAATATGATTATTAATTTTATCATTTATTGTTATTATTATTATTGTTATTGTTATGTTTCTGTCTACTCAAACAAACTTTATATCTAATTGAGTGTTGTATTCCACTTACTGTGACACCAAATCCCACATATTTCAGGTGCTGTTGTCGCGCTCACTGTCCCTAGCCTGTTGGATCTATGCCGTCGTGTGTTTCCTGTGTAGCTTGTGTGCCTACTTCATGCCCATAGAGACCAAAGAAAGGGCTCTGCCGGTATGCTACAGTTCCTTCTTTTCTTGTTTTTCTTTGGTGGGGTTGCTTTGAGGTTTTGGCTTTTTTTTAGGGGGGGGGGGGGGGGGGGGGGTTCTAGCTGTCTCACTATTTGTCTTGCTTTTTTTTTTCTGGGTGCAAATTGACTGTCAATGTGTCTATGTTTTTCTCTTTACTCCAATGAACAAGGGGGCTGTTGTGAAATGAGGTTTGGGGGTGAATCGGGGGAAAAAGCAGTTATTTCATCTTATCTCTCCTTTGTATTTCTTCTAACCTTTTTTTTCTCAGATTGTTATAAAATGTGTGCTCCTTAACTTTGTATTGTTTTGTTGTTGATGAGTATGAGTGTACAGCAAAGCTGGGTCTGTAAAGAAATGTTTTTATTACAGTGTATATGATCATTTTGTTCATCAAGTTATAAACCCCAGAATTATTGCTGTACTGCATACTTACGTCTTTACATCCCTGTTTCACACCAAATTCAAGTTTTAGGTAGACTGATATAAAAGTTTTATCACAGTGTGTTCGAACATTCTTGTTCATGAAGTTCTAACTTCAGAATTTTACTGCATACTCTCTTCTCAGTGTTTCTTGCCAACTTAAAAACTATTATGTAAGACTAACATAAAAAGTGTAATCTAATTCACACATTCCTATATTCTTCAGAGGAGGCTGTTTGTGGATTGATTTTGATAAGAGAATAAACGGTTCCTAGTTTTTCTTAGCACATCAGCTCAATTTTGTCTTTAAGAAGATAGACAAGGGAAGGACAATAGTGAAAAGAGAAGGAAAGTAAAATGAAATAATGAAGTTTTTAGGTGATGCTTTGAGTGTGCCTGTGTTTGAGTTCACTTCCTCTGTCCTCCCCATTTTTCCTTCCTCCTCTCTACCATTTTGGTCTTTTCTTCTTTTTTTCTTAAGCTGTCCTATTTGTTCCTTGTTTTTTCACCTTTTTCCTTCCCTTGTCTGTTTTGATTTTCCCCCTTCCATTTTCTCTCTTTTAGCAATCTGTATCAATGGAGATGATTGCACTGAAAACGATGGATGAGGAAGATGGGAAGTCAGAAGAAGAGATGGATTGAGCAGCTCTGATTACTTACACCACACAACACCATTGATGAGATTTGGCTACCTGGCAGCTTTTCTGAGTTTTGGAAAGTCTGCTTTCTCTCAGGCTGTTGTCAGTGGTCTTTTCGACCTGATGACCAAGATGAGTGATGACTGGAGACTCATAAAGGATGGGACGTGACGATGAGATGTATGGATGGTGATTAGCATAGTTGGATTGCCATTCCTTTTATATGTCTGAATTACTGAAAACCTGGAATGTTCCAGGGTGTTTTCTTTTTGCTTCTTATGTTTGACGTTTGAGAAGGGGGGGGGGGAGGGGTTGGTCCGGCAGTTTGATCTTCTGTAGTCATAATGTATGTCCCGTAAAATAAATTTTACAGCTCTATTGAACTGTTTCATGTGCGAGCTGCTGGCTCAATTTATGCCATGCTGAACTGGGATGCAGTGGCCTTAGCTTGAGGCCTGAGCAGGGCTTCTTGAATTGTTTGGGTCCTGGAGTTTCCATCGCTCTGTCTGATCTGTCAGGAAATTTAAAAATGGGTGTAGGTCCTCGCTCGAATATTACTGCATCAAAAGAGGTGTTTAAACCTTCAGCATACATTAAGTGAAGAGATAGGTGTTGAGGCTTTGTTAATTTTGTGCTTATATTTTGGCTTCAATCCCTGCTTGGAATGGACCAAGGGCCAATGTTTTGGCTTTGCTTTCTGTTGTATTTTGTTAAGGGGTGAGGGGGGTTGAAATTTTTTAAAAGGAAATTGTTCCGGCTATTAATTTGGAAATAATCGTTGGCCTGAATCATGTCTGGACTTGTCATATGTAGGCATGAGGTTGGCGTTCAGATCTCGTTTGTGGGTGGTTGGCAGGTGCTCTGGTGTGGTTTGCTTCTTCTTTCCTATCAAACGTCTATCGTCCTTTTCTCTCCTTTTTTTTGTGTTTGTTACTCTCTTGTAACACCTCTAGTCTTCGGCACTTACATGACCTTATTGTGTTGCAAGTGCCGTAAAACTCTTACTAAAACTAAAGATCTCGTTTTGAAATTTTGGGTTTGCTCCTTTTCTTCATGGCGGGCGCCAACTGAGAGCATACTGTTATGTCAATTAAAATAATTCTTTGCTGATTTGTGGATGAGCCTGATTTTAATCCCCAATTGGAGGGGAAGGGGGGGGGGGGTGTCTTGGATTTGGGTAGTTTGGTGAGTTTTGAGGTTCTCCATCCTCTTGACTTGGTTCTTTTGGAGATGAATATTAAATTTGTAGGACCCGCCTCTCATATAATCTTAGCGTGGAAAGAGGCATGAAACCCACACAATTGCCAATGACTGATTGAGTGCTTCATGTGGTCCATTTTGTCAAACAGGGTGATGTGAAACACATGACTGATGTATCAATGATCTTGGCTGGCCGTGACAGGGAATGTTGTCTGTTGATTTTGTAACTGTTTGGTTGGTACAGGGTTTTTGTTAATTCGACATGGTTTTGTTTTTGCCTGCCATAATAATATATGCAACTGAAATGCCATAGAAATTAAGCAAATACTCAGCTGAGCTGAATTTTTGTTGTTGAAAGTTTCTTTTGTAAATTTTTCTCTCCCTTGAATGACTTTGTTCATCTGTGACAGAGCTGTTCTCTCGACATCTGTGATGTGTATATCATTACACACAGGGGACACTTTTTTATTCCTCATTTGTTCATTTCATGCCTGGGGGAGTTTGTGTTAGTGATACAGTCGAACCTGTGTAAGACGGAATCGCAAGGGATGCAGAAAAAAATTCCATCTGAGACAGGGGATTTAGGGGGTAAATAGAGGGCAGATTCAAAAGGCCCAGCCGATTGGATCAAGGGTCGCTTGTCTGGTCGGCAAGGAGTTGTCAAAACATCACACCTCTCAACTGTTATCTTCTCTGATAATGACATGGCCGTCTTCCTTATTCAATTACCACCATTGCTTGCATTTTATAGGACCACTGTTTGACTTGTTTAAAAACAGAAACATTTGAACATCTCCTTTGCTTCCACCCATAGCCCCTCCCATCGATGTAACAAGTACAGTCGTCAAATGCTACCCCTCACTGCCATGTAACTATGATTTGAGGAACTCTTTTCTCGGCTTGTTGTACGATCAGGGCAGCAGGCATGGCTATTCGGGCACTTTCACTGGCACTCGTGAGATTTCACACTCATACCACCCTGACCATCTGCATCGCTCAGAGCTCACGTAGATGGGGTAACATCTACCCTCAAATTGCACCCCTACTCCCCTTCCTCGAACGGCGACATGGCTTTAAGTTTAGAGTCGGCGAAACCAAACTTGTGACTTTTGTTTCAAATCAAGGTTGAGGGGGCAAAGCGTTTTCCGTCTTAGACTTAGACAGGTGGAACCCCTGGAGGGGAGCGGATTTTTTTTCCCGTTTCTGCTTTGGACAGGTTTCCGTTTTATACAGGTAATTAAAGAGGAAGCTATAAAGGGGGGGGGGGGGAGATTCCGTTAAGACAGGTTTCCTCTTTACACAGATTTCCGACAAGGCAGGTTCGACTGTAACTCAGTCTTTCTTCTGGGATACCGTAACCAACTCAGCCTGGGTCGACCTTTACAAACAGGGTCTTAGCAGCTGGCTTCCTAAATGATCCAAAATTGTATCAGTTGGGACGCAAAAAACTATTTACAATTTTTCCAGAGCTTTTTATTGCGACAGTAGATAGTTTATACAATACAGATTGAGTTCTTTTGATATTCCACTCACCTGGTGCTGCTCTTCTGTGGTCTTCCATGGTTGTCTGATTTATGAAATTTTTTAAATGTATGACACTTTTTAAAACTGTTGGCGCTCAGTGACCATTATATTATACCCAGTTTGCATCAATACGGCAGCTTTTGATGTTGTAGGTCCTATAGTTTCACCCAATATGAATCACCAAGTATTTAAGTACTCTGTTATTGTTTATTTTTGTGAGATGTTTGTGAAGGAGTACCAGAATCTATAGTTTTCCAGAAGTTGTATTGCAGCTGTTGTTTTTGTTTTTATTTTTCTGTCATTGCTCATGTTTCTGTATGCGCTTTTTGGTTAGACCATCAAATTTGTCCTAGACGGCCTCCCATTGTCGAGGAGAAAAGTGGTCATCTTAGACAGGTGGTCTTCTTGGCGAGTGTCGTTAAGATATATACAGTAGTCTCCGCCTAAACGCACGGTGCTCGGGAGGGCTCCTTAGCGTGTGTTTATACGGAGCGTGCGTTTACATGAACCTTTGCAAGGGGAAGAAGGGACGCAGTCATTTCAACTCCTTATTACTCTAGTGACCTCCCTTGGAGAGAGGCGATCATTTTGGCAGAATATCTGACGACACGTGACTGTTTTGTGAAGGATTCCCCGACTGGGTTTAAGAATACAAAGGCGTTGAATGGGGGGGGGGGGGGAGAAAGACGGACTCAATGTTATGACTATGCACTACAAACGATGGGAACAGATAGCCTAAGAGGATACTGTTGGTGATAATCATAGAGACGACGGACCAGCCACGTGGCTTTCCAAGCGACCACCCACGACCATAAATTCATGCAGAATCATTCTCTATATTCAGAGAAACATTTCTCTTGTGGTTCGTTGAACAAGTACGTTCTTCGAGCGCAGCTGATTAGGCTTATTTGGCTAATCTTTAATCCTGTAGAGGCCTGTCTAGTGTTTTACGGCATTTACGCGTGTGGCGCATCAGGCCTAGGTCTAACTAAACATTACACGCAGTCACCCAGACACCAGTCAGAAACCTTCTTTCAAAGAAAGATCTACATTTCCAGTGTCCAATCAAAAAACATTTAAGTCCCCCCAAACTTTTCACCGACCCGTCCCAGACCTTCGTGTCTGTGGAAAGTTGGGAGGTGAAAACGCTGTCCATCACTCTCTTTGTTCGGCGTGATTTTCTAGGCTTGTCTTATGCAGGCTGTGCAGGTTCAAAGATTGTAGTGAAAATTTCCCCTTGTCAAGCTTTACCTGTCGGCGTGTTTCGCGGATCGGAGCGTGCGTTTAGAGGTAGTGACCGTGCGTTTGTACGTCTAAATTACATAGTATAAAACTCGTCAGATGACGAAAGCGTGCGTTTGAGTTGAGCGTGCTTTTGTATGGTGTGCGTTTAAGCGGAGACTACTGTGGAAAAAAAATGCAAGGGGTAAAGTGGTCATTTGGGCAGGTGATTGTCTTGGAAAGGTAGTTGTTTGAGCAAGTTCGACTGTATATCATCACATCTGGGTTTTTTTCTCAGCATGCTTTGTTACCCTTTGTTTTTAACCTCTCAATATTTTTGTAACTTATTTGGGTGTTTTTTTTGCGTCATATTCTAATTATTTTCTTTTGAGGTCTTTGAGTGGGCTTACTATGTCTCAGGTGTAATAATTAGGCTTTTTGCCATTGCACTCAGAAGACACGAGTTCTCCTTCGAAATAATTTAACTTGTGGCTATACGTTTGTTAAACTTGAATCATTTGGTTGTTCAGACTCTCAATAGACACTGTATTTCCTGAGCTTCCAAGGATTTTCGCACTCATCTTTTGTTTATAACCCTGCATTTGCAGCTGTTAAACTTGAATCATTCGGTTGTTCAGACTCTCATATATTCCTGAGCTTCCAAGGATTTTTGCACTCATCTTTTGTTTATAACCCTGCATTTGCAGCTGTTAAACTTGAATCATTCGGTTGTTCAGACTCTCATATATTCCTGAGCTTCCAAGGATTTTCGCACTCATCTTTTGTTAATTTACCCTGCAATTGCAGCTGTCAATGTGTAGTTGCTAGCTGCTGTGGTGTGCTCCACTTGTTTTACTTTTTCTCAGCTTTGCTCTTATTTTAGTACTGCTATCTGGTTGTGGGGAAGCGTTGCTCTTTATCATGTTGACTTACTAAACAAAATCGTAACAGCAATAAACACTATATTTAGCACTAATAGCCTTTTTCATGTTTTATGTCTGTTGAAAGGAGGGGGCTGGGGGATGGGAAGGGGGAGGAGTTGGATAGATGGGAGCAGTGATGTTGATTTTTTTTTATTACTTCCAGTTAAGTGGTGAGATTCAAGAGTTTTAATAAGTTGGGTCCCCAGCTAGGCAGGATAGATGTTGCATCATTATGAAAGGCACTTCTTAACTTTAATTCTTTTCATCAGTTTGCCTATCTTGCAAATGGTTACTTGGAAATTGGAAGAGATAAAATATGGTGATAATGGTTTATGTGGGTTTTTTTTTTTTTTTAGGCGGGAAGGTTGCTTAAGCCATGGGGAATAAATTGGTTTATTGGAAGAATGGGCCAACCAAGGGAGTTATTGTAAAGTCATGTAAACCTTTAGGAGGATACCTGACTTTTGAATAAGATCTGTAGTTGGGTTCTTTTGACCACCATAATCATTTACATTTTAGCCTGTACACTTTTTCTGTAAAAGTTGAACAGTGCCAGTTCTATAAATTTGTACAGTCCAGAATGGTTTTGTTTTGAGACATATTAAGGGGATTATTTTCCGTACTGAATTATGGTTGAAAGGACTGTCAACATTGCATCTTTATAATTGTTGTGTCTTTTGTCTATTTGAGGGATTGTGCTGATTTTATCTGCTGCAGTTTGTTTCCTTTGTTGTATAACTGCCTGCTCTATATTATACATTTGAGCACACATGTACACACACACACCTACATACTCATGTCTACACACATACATGTGTATTGTATGCACACACATACAGACACACCTACACATACGCACACATATGTACGCACACATACATACATAACATAAACATACACATGTGTATACACACACACTTACTTTACTTTTCCTTGTTACTTGATTTTTGCCCTCCGGTGCAGTATACAATTCCGCACTGCTTATGTATGTAATATATATGATATATATAATATATGGTTGTTGTTGCTGTTG